TGTGTGTGTGTGTGTGTGTGTGTGTGTGTGTGTGTGTGTGTGTGTGTGTGTGTGTGTGTGTGTGTGTGTGTGTGTGTGTGTGTGTTATAAGTGCCAATCCTCTGGCAGTTTTTTCCCCAGCTCAAACTGGTTTTCAGCTAGACAGCTTTAAAAAAAACAAGTTAGAAAACTTTTAATAGAGCCCCGGTTCATTGTTCCTGTTTGTCTCCTGATCGCTTTGATTTGCCTCAGACTTCTCAGAAAAGTATGACTCAGTTGTGAGAAATTTCAAGAAGTTAGGGGTGTGGGGAGTAAAACTAGAGGGCTGAGGTCAAAATCGAGCTAGGGAAGCCATGTGCAGCCTTTTCTAATTACTGCATCTACTCGAACAAAGTTACAAAATTTGGGGGTGGGTTAAGTGCCTGAATCCTTTACCATCCTGTAGTAAAGCCAAATTCTTGACATCCTCAGGAAGCCAGCCATGATTTAGAAAATTCACATCCCATTGCAAAGCAATTCCAGAGTTGTTTTTAAATTAATCTCCAGCCCTCTCTGGTGGAACGTCCCATGCACCGTTTACACGACCAGATTACTGCGCTTTCGTAGAGACTAGTCAGGTGACAGTGGGCTGGACTTGGCTTCTGGTGAAGTTGCCGCTGATCTCTCCCATTCCTTTCTCTCCTTTGCCATGTGGTGGGTCGGTGTGTTTCTGGGGCTCTTCCTCCTAGCCTGCCCATCTGGGTTTTTGGATGGCACTTCAGGTAAGAGATCCCATCTGCCGTCTATACAGTTCAGTGGGGCTGGAGTCCTAAGCAGAAAAGGGGAGGGCGATGCGTGTTGTCTGGGGGTTAGAGAAGCTAGAGCTGGGGGGGGTGTGTGGAGGGCAGCTGCAGTGCCCATGTGTTCCCAACACCTCTGCATGCCCCTTTCTTCAGGTCCTGTCCTGCCCTGGGGCACTGGAACAATTTGCACAGTGGGGGGGGGCGAGAGCCATTGAACCAAACTGTAAACTCTGTATATGATGGAAACCACTTCAAGCCGGGGGGTGCAGCAGCAGCAGCCCCCCTAGATCCAGCACCGATGGTCCTGCCCATGTCGATTTTACAGAAAATATTTGGGGGCTTTTTTTGTCCGGTATTTTTTATTTTGATTGATCGATTTGCAAATCCCCAGCCGCTGGCTGAGCAGGTGAGACTAGAGACCCGGAGAAAAGGGAGAGAGGGAAGCGTGCATGGAAAGAATATACAGAGGAGGTGAGGGGGGGGTATTTTGTAAAGCTTCTTTGAATGCAGTTTAACAGCTGGAGACAGAGAGGAATGGCCAATCGCCTGGCAAGCCCCAGGTTAGGGAAGTGGGGTGTGGGGCAGATTTGAAGCGTGCGTCTTCTCTGGCAGGGGGCGTTGACCTTGGGTTTTAAGGTGGAGGGGGGCAGGCATGCCCTCACTGCAGAGTGAACTGGAGTTATGGACACTGGGAGTTATAATCTGCTTGCAGAGACGTGCTGTGTAAATGCATGAGAGGAAATCAGATCTGGTGCCGGCATGATGGGATGTGTGTGTGTGTGTGCACGCGCGTGCGGCATGATAGGGGTGTGTATGGGAAGCAGCCCTTGTTAACTCTGCACGCTGCCCATTCATCGCAGGGAAACCCCCAGCACCCACTTCTAGATCTTTCTGTGATCTGCCTACAGGAAGAAGCAGGTGTATGACACACCTTCATTCACGGCCTCAGGATCTTCCCAGGCCTTCCCTCACCTCTGACTCCGCTCTCCCGGTTGCTTGTTAGGGCTGACCTCTGGCTCTTTGCCTGGACAAAGCCCCAGCGGAAAATGCACAAGCCCCATGTGTGTAGAACGAATTGCAAGAAGTTTAGGGTCACATTCCGTTAGATCAAACCCCCCTTTGTTCTGCAACAGCAAATATCTCAACCTCTTTCGGAGCAAGTCATTCGTTTAAAATCATTTGGTTTAACAAGAGTCCTACCCTCTCTCAGAGCCAGCATTGTTGATATTCCTGGAGCTGTTTTGCTCAGTCATGGAGTGTCAGGGGTTTAATAAAAAAAAGCCATGGTTTGCTACGAAAAAGCCCTAAGTCATGAGCAGGTGTTGCAAAATAATCCCCGGAGTTCGGCTCCTAAATCCAGGCATAAATGCAGAGAGCCCTGCAAATCAGCAGAGATCCGCTTCATATCCGTGGCCCGTGTTTGCGGATCGCGGGCGGAAACAAATTTTGTATCCATGCAGGGCTCTATACATGTGTATAGAGGGGGGAGGGATAGCTCAGTGGTTTGAGCATTGGCCTGCTAAACCCAGGGTTGTGAGTTCAATCCTTGAGGGGGCCATTTAGGGATCTGGGACAAAAATCTGTCTGGGGATTGGTCCTGCTTTGAGCAGGGGGTTGGACTAGATGACCTCCTGAGATCCCTTCCAACCCTGATATTCTATGAGGCACAAAACTGTGAGACCCTCTATCTTCCCCCTGGCTTTAACTGCAGCTGCTGAATGCCTGGCACTTCAGTGTCATTAGAGGACCTAGAATGAACAAAAAGACAAAAGGATGATTGCATCACACTCTTCCTGTTGTGCTGCCCTACAGCAGAGTCACATGAAGTGCAATGGGTGGGGAGTGGAGGGTTGTCAAGGGGAGAGGTACCTTCAGGCACGAGGCCACTGATGTTCCTGGGGTACCCAGGGCCTTTCCCTCCACAGGGGGAACAGTTAAAGAGCCTAACAATGCATTATTAGAGGATTCCCTACCATTAGTTCCCTGTGACTTAGGCAAATATTCCTCATTCCCACTGTTGGCAACTCCCCTGATTTTTTTTTTCATGCATCTCACGATATTTGGTGTTGGATTTTCTAAAAGCCCCAGCGCCTGGAGTCCTGTGATAAGCACATCCATTTGTTTAAACCAAAATATGGGGTTTATGTAGGAAGGCTTCAAAAAAGTGACTTCCCTTGCCCCGCACCCCAAGGCTCAAAATTCAAAAGATGAAAAAGCAGACCCCCCCCCCAAATTATTATTTTTAAATATTTCATGATTTTTAAGGCAACCTGATGATATTTGAAGGCAGTGGGTTGGCAAAACTCTGCAAGCACAATAAAGTGGCATTCCAAGAGGGCAGAGTTAAGGTTATATGGGGGAACCGGCACCTATAACTGAACTCCTCCTGGTTAACATAGCTCTGAGGTTTGTCGCTAAGATTCTTTCCCAGTGTTACATGGGGAAGATCTTAGCTGAGCATATCCTTGTTCTCTAACAGCTGAGTTTGGGGCAGTGACATCCCATAAGGGCCTGGGGAGCAGAACTGCCTGTTGGTCAGCAAAAACAGGGTGGATTTGATTTATTGATTTAAATCATGATTTAAATCACTAGTCAGGAAGACTCGATTTAATCATGGATTTCTACATAAAAGTGCATTCTTGTTGGTTGTTATAACCTTAATACATATTCTTCACAACTCAGAGATGTAGGTTTCATTTTTAGAAGGTACACACTATACATTTTTAAACAGTGATTTATTTTGAAAACTCTTCAGATGAATGAAGCTATATCAGAAAATGAATGGTTGTTTGGCTATTTCATTTACCAAAGGTAACGGAAGCAGATATTTACGAAGTCATTGGGAGGTGAATTATCTCCAATTCAACAGGTTAATCATTAATATTTGGAGGATTTTCTTGCCATGCTGAATTAGGAGGAGAACATCACCAGACAGACATTTAAATTGTTTTAGTTAACTAAACAACAATGTTAAGTATTCTGGATTTTTTTTCTTCAACAGCAAACATATAATATTTTAACAAAACAAGCATATGTCCCTCCCTTCTCACATTTATCTCCAGGCTTCTTCTCCTTGTCCAGATCTATTCCGCCCCCAACAATCTTGTATTCATTGAACTTTTTGAAACTTTGCACTTTTACAGAGAGGTAAGGGATTGACTCTGTGTACCCAAATTTGCAGAGGGACAACAGGGCTGAGGTCTGTTGTTTCTCACCTCTATATATTTATTTATTTTAAAACATTTTTGCGGTTAACAAGCATGTTATCTCTGGAAACACAAATCCACAGTTTGAGAACTGCAAAACTAAGCATCTCTGATGGTATCTTCTAGACTGAGCACTGAGTCCCAGTGAGTAGATAGAAAGATTAACCTAAATAACCTATACAGAACTTCTGGAACCCCATAAGATTGGGTCCCTAATCCATGAACTATTGGAACTCATTTACAAAACTTTTCTTAAACATTCCATGAATATATTGTCTCATACTATAGAATTAGAATTTATAATCCCTATTCCATGATGAGAGATCTTTGAGCGATAATGTATCTTAATTAAAACTATCTTTTAGATAGCTTTTTGAGGGGGAAAAACATTTTATCAACATAAAAAAAATCTGATTTTTTTTTAAAAAATTTTAAATCATTGATTTTTATCCACCCTGGTTGCAAGTGAATAGCAAAACTGGTCCCAGCAGGGAGCCAAAGTGTCAAAAATTCTTAGCTGGCAGGAGAGCCTCTCTGTGAGCATCTACAACGCCTCTCACTTAAACAGCGACCGGTTGAACGGTTTATTGTAAGGGACGCCCTTTCTCAGACCCTTTCCCTTTACTGTCTCTCCCCACCCGTGCCCCCGGTCAGGCCCTGACCCAGGATTGCCAAGCCAAACTAAAATACTGCTTGTTTAAATCTCACAGCTCGCAAAGCTTGTCCAACTGTCCCCGTGGCTGAGCCCGAAGGCGGCTCTGTGAACATCTCCATACCGAATGCCGCCTACTTTTCAGAGACGTCTTTCATTGTGCAGAAATATAACGCCTCAACTTCGTCGTGGGACGATGTCATTTACTCCTCTGATGAGGACTCCCAAAAATTCCTCAGTTCCTACAAGGAGAAACTCTCCTTTTCTGGTGGATACTTCGAGATGGAGAACGTGAGCAAAGGGGCTGGAGGAGTTTACAGGATTCAAGATGAAATGTACAGGAAGTGTGTGGCTGTCATAAACTTGACCGTGCTGGGTAAGTTCTGCACTCAATGACCGCAGAAAAAACTCTGCTCCCATTGCACTTCTCAGGCAGTGTAAACCCTGTGGAAACATCCTATAAACTCCCAGAATATGGAAGACCCCAGCAGACATTGAGCTGGGAGAGCCATCTCCTCTGCACCCTCTCTGCAGCCTCCAGCCCAAGGGGCATGTCATGTGGGAATGCGTGGGGAGAGGAACTAGCCAGACCACAATGCACTCTGGATATTCTCAGTGGATGGATGGTCCCTGAGGGCCCCCCGCCAGCCAGTACACATTAGAGCAACCCCCAGGCTGCTATAACCAATGACGGGACTGGCATTAGAGCTAGGGCAGAGAACCAGGAAGGTGTAAATCCTGTTGTGCCAGAGCAGGAGCCTTGTCTACAGTAGGCCCACCGATGTTCCTACCACTGACTCTAGTGACAATGAACATTTTTTGCAAACATGGTCAGCTAGTGACCCGGCCGACCGGGGAGGCTAGTCCCTGGCCCCTTCCCTTGTGGCAAAGGCCCCACCCCTCCCCTTCTGCCCCCTTGCCCCTGCAGGAGCCCAAAGTACCCCCACCGTGGCCCCCGGCCCCAGTGCCGGGCAGCTGTGGGGGCGAGGCCGCAGGCCCGGCACTCCGGGCAGCACGGTTGCTGTGTCCCCAGGCCTAGTACTCAGGGTGGCTGGTGCTGGGGGTGCGCCGCCCGGAGTCCCTGTGAGAGGCAGGCCAGACACTCCCAGCCAGCCTGGGCCAGCCAGGGCAGAGCTCTGGGAACAGCAGGAGGGGGCCTGGCCTGGGGGTGGAGCGTGGGCAGGGCCACGATAGGCTGTTTGGGGAGTCACAGTCTCCCCGTGCCTACAATACCTGCCACCCATGTTTGCAAAGTTTCTGCAGTGTAGACAAGGTTTAAAGCACCCCAAGGGCTCGCAGGGAGAGCAGCGTGTGTTGTATAGGCCACGGGGTGACTTATTTTGATGGTGTCTAGCAAGCCTTTTGTTCATCAGGCTGCTCATTAACATACGGCTGGCTCCGTCTGACTGCAGGATCAGGAACAAACACTCATGAAGTGTCAGCATTGAAATCCCTGGGAAATACGTGGTAGGCTGTGATCTGTTTTATCTCTGGCCACCGTCACCTTGTATCCGAGGCCCAGATCTTCCAAGATGAATGGGAATCAGATGCCTAAATACCTTGGAGGATCTGGGCCTAAGGGCCAGACTCTCAAAGGTATTTAGGCACCTAAAGCTGCAAATAGGAGCGTAGGGGGATTTTCAAAAGCACACAGCTGCCTAACTCTCATTGAAGATGGGAGTTAGTCACTTTTGAAAATCCCATTAGTGACCTACCTGTATCTTCAGGAATGCAACTACCTTTGAGTATCTGGCCCTAGATAATCAAAGGGCTCCATGGCAGAGGCTGGAATTGAACCAGGCGCTCCTGGGCCCTAGATCAGCACCTCCCCGCTTAGGCCACCCTTCTGCAGCGTAGACAAGAAGAGGAGAATCAGGCATGTGGTATACAGAGTCCTCACCAACACTTTCCTCCTTATTGTCTCATTCCAGAGCCCAGCTCATTCCCACCTACTGTGTCTGGGACCTCCAGTGCTGAAGAGGAACCTCATGATGAGACCAAAGGGGAGGGTAAGCAGCTTGTGATGGGAGATTTCCTTCACCAATAGCCTCTCTCATCCCAGCCTGAATTTCACACGCATGTCCTAGCTCCCACTTACGTCAATGTGAGCTTGAGGGAACCATGCACTTACTCCGGATCTTCTCAGATGGCCTGATAGCTTGTGCCACAATTGGCCAAAAATGGACCACTGGGAGCTGGCATAGCAGAGTTGGCTACCGCTAAGGACAAGCCGTTGGCCAATTGAGGAGCCGTGTTTGGGGCCTCCCAATGCGAGAGCAATTAGAGGAATAATAACGAGGAGTCCTTGTGGCACCTTAGAGACTAACAAATTTATTTGGGCATAAGCTTTCGTGGGTTAGAACCCACTTCATCAGATGCACGGAGTGAAAAATACAGGAGCAGGTATAAACACATGAAAGGGTGGGGGTTGCTTTACCAAGGGTGAGGTCAGTCTAACGAGATAAATCAATTAACAGCAGGATACCAAGGGAGAAAAAATAACTTTTGAAGTGGTAAGAGAGTGGCCCATTACAGACAGTTGAGAAGAAGGTGTGAGTAACAGTAGGGAGAAATTAGTATTGGGGAAATTAAGTTTAGGTTTTGTAATGACCCTACCACTCTCAGTCTCTGTTCAGGCCTAATCTGATGGTATCCAGTTTGCAAATTAATTCCAGTTCTGCAGCTTCACGTTGGAGTCTGTTTTTGAAGTTTTTTTTGTTGAAGCATTGCCACTTTTAGGTCTGTTATTGAGTGACCAGAGAGACTGAAGTGTTCTCCTACTGGTTTTTGAATGTTATGATTCCTGATGTCAGATTTGTGTCCATTTATTCTTTTGCATAGAGACTGTCCAGTTTGGCCAATGTACATGGCAGAGAGGCATTGCTGGCACATGATGGCATATATCACATTGGTAGATGTGCAGGTGAACGAGCCCTTGATGATGTGGCTGATGTGGTTAGGTCCTATGATGGTGTCCCTTGCATAGATATGTGGACAGAGTTGGCTGCAGGGTTTGGTTCCCAGGTTAGTGTTTTTGTTGTGTGGTGTGCGGTTGCTGGTGAGTATTTGCTTCAGGTTGGGGGGGGTGGGGCTGTCTGTAAGCGAGGACTGGCCTGTCCCCCAAGGTCTATGAGAGTGAGGGATCATCCTTCAGGATAGGTTGTAGATCCTTGACGATGTGCTGGAGAGGTTTTAGTTGGGGGCTGAAGGTGACGGCTAGTGGCGTTCTGTTACTTTCTTTGTTGGGTCTGTCCTATAGTAGGTGACTTCTTGGTACCCTTCTGGCTCTGTCAATCTGTTTCTTCACTTCACCAGGTGGGTATTGCAGTTTTAAGAACGCTTGATAGAGATTCTGTAGGTGTTTGTCTCTGTCTGAGGGATTGGAGCAAATGCGGTTATATCTTAGAGCTTGGCTGTAGACAATGGATCGTGTGATGTGGTCTGGATGGAAGCTGGAGGCATGCAGGTAGGTATAGTGGTCAGTAGGTTTCTGGTATAGGGTGGTGGTTATGTGACCATCGCTTATTAGCACTGTAGTGTCCAGGAAATGGACCTCTTGTGTGGACTAGTCCAGGCTGTGGTTGATGGTAGGGTGGAAATCGTTGAAATCTTGGTAGAATTCCTCAAGGTCCTCCTTCCCATGGGTTCAGATGATGATGATGTCATCAATGTAGCGCAAGTAGAGCAGGGGCGCTAGGGAATGAGAGCTGAGGAAGCGTTGTTCTAAGTCAGCCATAAAAATGTTGGCATACTGAGGGGCCGTGCGGGTGCCCATAGCAGTCCCGCCAACTTGAAGGTATATATTGTCCCCAAATGTGACATAGTTCTGGGTGAGGACAAAGTCACAAAGTTCAGCCCCCAGGTTTGCAGTGATGGTATTGGGGATGCTGTTCCTGATGGGGAATTAGGGGAATGAGTTCAGGGGCAGAAAACTGCAATCCCCAAAAGCCAGCATGCTCTGGGGGGGAGCCACCTATGCTAGCCAATGGGAGATGTCGATAAGAGGGGTGTGTCCTAAGCCCCGCCCCCTCCATGTTTTATGCCTGTTGTGGCTTGTGATCCAGGGAAACCCCTCTCTTGCAATCAGGTGATTTAGATGGTAGGTAAATAGTATAATGGCTAACAAGGGTCAGGCTGGAGACTCTTGCCTATATGCTCGGGGTCTTACTGATCGCCATATTTGGGGTCGGGAAGGAATTTTCCTCCAGGGCAGATTGGCTGAGCCTCTGGAGGTTTTTCGCCTTCCTCCGCAGCATGGGGCAGGGATCTCTAGCAGGAGGGTCTCTGCCGATTGAAGTCACTAGTAACAGGATTGGGGACTTCAACGGCAGAGTCCAGGGAAGGGGTAGGGACGGTTTTATGGCCTGCAGCATGCAGGGGGTCAGACCAGATGATCATAATGGTCCCTTCTGACCTTAAAGTCTATGAGTCTATGAGATGTTGCTCAAGTCATACCTTGCAGGAATAAGTTAAGCACCTGCCTTGCTCCATGCAAAATGGCAGAGGAGCCGTCCTAACCCAGCCCTGTGGCTAGTGCACTCAGCTGGGAGAGCCCCGTTCACTTCTCCCGTCATTAAAACACTCTCAGTCCATTCTTCTTAAAAATCTCAGAGAGGCAACTCCCGTTCGTCTGGGTTGGGCGAGGGAGTTGCTTAGGCACTGTCAAACAATTACTTAACAGCCCAATTAATCTAAGTATTATACTTAATGGGTGTCTGGAATTTGTAACCGGTTTAGCAAGGTCATTCCATGACAGGCCGGTGCACCGTTAAACAGAAACAGGCACTAGACAGAAGTAAGCAGCAGCATCCGAAAAACATTTGTCAACCATTAAGTTTTCTTCACATTGCAAGGAGAGAGACGGCCTAGAGAAGAAATTGCTTTTATTGAGGGGTCTGTAGGTGTTTAAACTGGTGGGGGGGTTTCTGCAAAGGGAGGAGGTGGGAAGGAACCTGCTTTATGGCTCAGGCTGTGTCTGCACTTAAAACACTACTGCTGCTGTAGCCCTTCAGTATAGACACTTCCTACCGCAATGGGACTCCCAGTCCAGCGCTCTATGCCACGCTGCCTCCATGGGTCCCAGCTCACACGCACACCCTCTTGCTCCCCCTGACGTCACTGAGAGCTGGGCATGCACAAGGATCAGGCCCAGTGTCTGACCAGGGTGTCACTCCTGACCCTGAACTCCCTTTGCCGTCCCCCGAGAACTTATGGTTGCTTCCATCTCCATCCCCCAACGCTGGGCTTGTACGTCAATGACTCGTTGCACTGATGAGGTCATAGCCTGCTGTCAGCTCCTCGGCCCTGCTGATGCAATACTTTCTCTGCTCTCCTGACTGCAGCGTGTGTGGAATTCCCCTTCCCCGCCTCTTGGACCTCTCCCAGCTCCTCCCTTGTCGCCTGGAACATTGCATCACAATGACTCCTAGAAAGCGATCTCGGAGTCATTGTGGATAGTTCTCTGAAAACACCCACTCAATGTGCAGCGGCAGTCAAAAAAGCTAACAATGTTGGGAATCATTAGGCAAGGGATAGATAGTAAGACAGAAAATGTCCTATTGCCTCTATAGAAATCCATGATACGTCCACATCTTGAATATTTGAACTCTCCTGTGCCAGGAAACCTGAAACCAACTTGACACTAGTTAGGTTACTGGTGTGTTGAGACCACAGCCTCTATAGAAATCCATGGTACGCCCACATCTTGAATACTGCGTGCAGTGGTCGCCCCATCTCAAAAAAGATATATTGGAATTGGAAAGGGTACAGAAAAGGATGACAAAAATGATTAGGGACATGGAACATCTTCTGTATGAGGAGAGATTAATAAGACTGGGACTTTCCACCTTGGGAAAGAGATGACTAGTGAGGGATAAGATAGAGGTCTATAAAATCATGACGCATGTGGCGAAAGTAAATAAGGAAGTGTTGTTTACTCCTTCTCATAACACAAGAACCAGGGGTCACCCAATGAAATTAATAGGCAGCAGGTTTAAAACAAACAAAAGGAAGTATTCCTTCACACAATGCACAGTCAACCTGTGGAACTCCTTGCCAGAGGATGCTGTGAAGGCCCAGACGATAACAGGGTTCAAAAAAGAACTAGATAAGTCCATGGGGGACAGGTCCATCAACTGCTATTAGCCAGCATGGGCAGGGATGGTTTCCCTAGTCTCTATTTGCTAGAAGCTGGGAATGGGCGAAAGAGGATGGATCACTTGATGATTATCAGAGCTCCTGTGATTTTGTTTTTTTATTTTTATTTTTATTTTTTTAATCTTTCCACAGTTTTGGTTGCAGTTGAAACTTCCAGTTAAAGCGATAAGTGTGGGGGCTGGACTCTCTGTTGCCTTGCACTTTGTTTGTGTCACTTTTACACTGATGCAAAGTGAGCATCAAATACCAACAGACCTACAGGTACTAGTGTAAATGACAGACACTAGATCAGGGTAAGGCTGGATCGGGGCCCAGAGCTCTCCACTCACCCACCCATCACTGCACAAGGAGTTGGATCCTGGGCCCCAGGCCAACTGCCCTAAAGGGGCAGCTTAGAAATTCCTAATTAGCACGAAGCTGGTGTGTCTCCCTATGTCACCTGCCTCCTCCCAGACTTTAGTATGGGGACGTGGTGTGGTAGGGAAGAGGATGTGGTGCATAATGCTGGCTCAGAACTGCTGCCACTACAGCCAGTGTAACTTAGAGCAACCTCAGCGGTGCTCTAAGTTATGTCAGGTGCAATTTCAGGCACCAGCCAGTCCAAGCTTGGGGGAACAGAAGGGTGACTTAGATCCCCCTTTTCCCACCCCCCTCTGCTGAGCCAAGTGAAAACTTGGCACTTCTGAGAATTAAGAACCTGGCATAAGGCAATGGAGAACCCCAATCTTTTTTCTGCTGTGAAGAGTTGGTAAAACTCAAAGCCCAGATGGCACCATTATTAAGCAAATTATTTTTTTCTCTTTGCTATTTAAAAATAATTAGATGCAAAAACAATATTAGTGCAGCATTAATGTTGTATGGTTAGGACACACCAGTTAAGTTTCCTATGACAACACTAACTTGATCAACTTGCATGTAGGTAGCATATATCTCCCCTTCCTGTTTTTCTTGTTGCATTTTAAAATTTACCACCCAGGGTTCTGGGTAATGTAATGTAACGTGTAATGTAATATAATGCAGCTTGTATTAAAAACATCACAAACACAAACTTACAGGAATGGGTCAGAACTCCACAGCTTACAGTAGCGGATGCCGCAGGGATCGGGGCTGATTTTTAAAGGGCACAATTTTCAAAAGCCCCAAAGTGACTTAAGTGCACTTGGAAATTTTACCCATAATCTTCCTTATGAATTGATTTTTTAAAACAAGGGAGCTGTAGCCTGTTTTCCACAGGGTCAGTCTGAGTTCAAGCCAATGCCGTAGGGCATTTCAGGCTGCTGTCCTGTCTGATCCAGCCCAGGGATCAATATCTGATGCTTCCAGGGAAAGCAAGAACCTTCTGTAACATACGTGGCTAATTCTACCATGCTGTAAATGCAGGTGGGGAATTAATTCCTGACCTCTGGCGTTCAGACTATGCCCTGAAGCATGGGATTGAGCCAGAGGGATTGCTAGCGCTGGTCACCGTGTCTAGGGTCTCTTGAGTGGGAAGTTCCTTGGAGAATTCCACTGGGTTGGCGACTCAGCTGCGAAGGGAGGGGGTGGGCAGGCGCCTCTGATGAGCCCAGGATTGGAATAACTGAAGTAACGTTCCCTTTACACGGAGCCTCAGCTCTTTGGAACCTCTGCAAACGTTTTAGCCACGTGTTTAGCTCCATCTGTAGGAGTAGCCTGGGATCGCAGTGGGACAGCTCAGGTGCATAAGTGTTTGCAGGATGGGAGCTCAGGGCAGTCCCTGACCCAGGGCAAAGTGGATGTGAAGTGCCTCTGTCTGGATTTGGGAGCCTGCCTGCACACCGAACTCACTGGGCGCTGGGTGTGTGGCTGCAGGCTCTGGGCTGGGGAAAATCAGCCCGGGATGGTTATTTCAAGTAAAAACCAGAGTCACTTCCGGGTCTTTCCGCTTCTAATTCCCTTTCCCTTCTGCAGCTGGATTTCAGCGTATGATAAAATCACTCTCAATGCCAATTCGGTGCCACAAGTCACTGGACTGGGTGCAGGAATCACTAGGCAACGTTCTCTGGCCTGGGTTATGCCGGGGCTCAGGCTAAATTATTGTTCCTCAAACTTTGAAAAGCTGAGCCCCTTCCTCAAGGCAAAGAAACCAATCGCGCCCCTCACCCGTCAGCCCCATCATGTGTTAGCGACCCCACCCCCCATTTTCATGTATACATCTTCAAACCCCACCCTTCCCAGCATGGCTAGCCCTTCCCCACGCTTCAGGAGACTCTGTCCCCTCTAACCTTAAGATCTGAGGGACCCCATCCTGGAGCATCTTAAAAATCAAGTTTCCCAGACTCTGTAACGGGGCTGCTTTGCCAGGCTCACCGTTCTCCCTTGGTCAGGTTGGCCGATGGGGATAATGAGCCTGGAGATCTCATTCCTGCTGCTCTGAGTGGTACCCATGTACGCACGGCCAAACTCCGCTCTTACTGTATCCCAGGAACGTCTTAATCTTCTGGGCTCCTCACGGCAGCAGTGGGATGATTTAAATGAGTCCCTTAGTAATGGGGCCTTTCTCTCTCTTTTGTTTCAGAGCCAGTGTCCTGGGATCTTCCCACGATTCTTCTGGTGGTGGCAGCAGTTGTGGTGGGAGTGCCGCTGCTAGTCTTACTATGCAAATGTGGGTTTCAGAAAGCTAGAGGAAAAGTGTCTGCCTATCTGCCACGCGTCTTCAATAAGCTGCAGCCTCATGTGTCCCAGAAGCCTGGAAGTCCGCAGGATTCACAGGAATATGAGCTCCCTGCAGTGTGTGGCAGGGACGGAGACCAGGCCCAGGGAACCAGAAACAGGAATGGAGACCCAGCCCTGGAGAATGGTGAGGGAGACCTGCTAATGGGGGAGAGACGCTTCACCCAGGAAACCAGAGAAAAGGATCCATTAGGTGGGGACACAGACCCAGCCCAGGAAACTGGAGTAGCGTTGCAACCCTCCCAGGATTGACCGGGAGTCTCCAGGAATTAAAGATTAATTTTAAATTAAAGATTATGTCATGTGATTAAAATCTCCAGGAATACGTCCAATTAAAATGGGCAATGCCGAACCGGAGGGGGGGACCCATTAGATGGAGACAGACTTGGGCTGGGGAGCTAGCTAGAGGAGATGATCCCTCTTACGATGCCCATCAATGGTGGGGACTAGACTGGGCGAAACTTTTCATCTAAACCTGTTTTATGCAGATTCAGATTCAGAAAAATGCAGATTCAGAAACCTGGAAACATTTTGCGAATTCATTCAACGTTCTGCTGAATTGTTCACGTCCAGACCCTGCCCCCAGGTCTTAAAAAGTCAAAGCATTTTGTTTAGACACTTTCCAAACAAACAGTTTTGATTTTTCAGTTCGACACCATTTTTTGTTTAAAAATGTCCTTCAGTTTTATTTTAAAAATTCAAAGTTACAACCCTCGAAATGTTCCCACGTCTTTTTTTTTAAGCTTTTTGGTTCATCAAAAATTTGGAAAAATTTTAGTTTTGTTTGACTTGAAACCAATTTTTTCCATGTTTTTTTTGTGTGTGTGGTTTTTTTTTTGCAATTGCCAGCGACCACAAAATTCTGTTTGCCCAGCTCTAGGGGCAGGTGAGAATGTTATCAGTTATACTGTGGGTCTCTGAGTCTCCTTGTCACTCAAAGTTTTCTTACTGTAACAAATTTATTTGGGATGAGGGATGGACAAAAGCTTCCTAAAAGTGGGGGGGCTGCTGGCACCAGATCTGTGGCCCTGCCCCTGTACCACCCCTTCTCCTTGAGGTCCTGCCCCCTCAAACCGCCCCTTTCCCTGAGGCCCCGCCCTCACACTGCCTTTCTCCCTGAGCTCCCACCTCATATTGCCCCTTGCCCCCAAGACCTTTCCCCCCTGGTCGCTCCTCCCACCCCTCATCCAGTTGCTCACACTTATGGTCGGTAAAAAGTGGTGGGCCCTGCCCCCCCCGTTCCGGCACCCCTGGATGAGAGTGGGAGAGGATGGATGAAGAACTCCTTTCAAATATAACTCTCCCCCCCCCCCCCAAAAAAAGAGCAACTCGCCAGCCACCGCAAAACATGCAACTAACCAACCCGTGCCAGTCATGTCGTGTTGTATGTTACATTCCCATCCTTGGGTGGTTTGTGTCTTTGAGAATGTGAACCCTGCAGGCCTGGGAGTTTCTCTATGTAATGTGACCTCAGTGCTCATGAGAGCCATTATTTGTAAATGTTTATCAGTAGCATAGATATTTATTATCATTCATGTACATACAGACATATTTATTAATAATTAGAACTGGTCAAAAATAGCCTGGGTGAGGGGGGTTAATGAAAATTGAAGAAAAAACCACTCCCCCCCCATATTCTTGAAACTTATTTGCAGATGCTTTTAATTATCAAATTTTTGTTTTGTTTTGGTGGGGAAAACTCCATGTTCTCTCTCAAGTGGGCAGAGAAATTCAAAATGTTTTTTTTTTAAAAGGGACATTTTTCAAAATATGAACAATGTAATCAAAAGTGGCAGTTTTAATTAAAAGTTGCATTGTCAGTATAAAGCCATTTTTAACCAGCTCTATCACTGTATAAAAAGATGTGTTTGTTTTTCATGATGCATTGTTTGGGCCAGGTTCCAAGCAGTATTCAGTTTTTGCACAGCTCTTCTCTTGCATCTGCGCCTCTCATGAGCTTTGGGCTTAATCTTAGCCCTGGAAACACTTATGCGCGTGTTTAACTTTAATTACTGCTGTGAATAATGCCATTTCAATGGGACGACTCTGAAGTCGGGTTTACACTACGGCTTTATATCGGTGTAACTCAGGGGTGTGAAAAATCCACCCCCGAGTGATGCCGTTTTACTGACCTAATCCCCCATGTAGACAGCGCTATGTCAGTGGGAGAGCTCCCCCTGCTGGCCGGCGACATAGCTACTGCCTCTTGGGGAGTTGGAATAACTACACACACAGGAGAGATCTCTCCCACCAGTTTAGAGCGTCTTCATTAAAGTGCTATAGTGACGTAGCTGCATTTGTGTAGCTGAATCGATGCAGTGTTTTTAAGTGTAGACGTGCCCTCAGTAGACTGGCTAAGCCCTTGCTTAGGTGTTTGCTGGATCAGGGCCGTAATGTATCTCTGGAACTGCCGATGTAAATGTGATGGAACAACAAATAATCTGTGAGATTTTGGAAAGAAGGGCGAGGTAAAGCATCTTCTTAGTGTCGGAAATGGATAAAGTGTGTGGTTACAATAGAGATACAAGGTGGGTTAGGGAATCTCTTTTATTGGCCCATCTTCTGTTGGAGAGAGGGAGACAAGCTTTCGAACCACACAGAGCTCTTCTTCAGGTCCTATAAAACCTATCACCTCACCCACCTTGTCTCTCTAATATCCTGGGACCGACACGGCTACAACTACTGTTTACAACAGATGTATATTGGGTTTTATTTTTCTTTCAAGTGTTTCCTCCTTTGCTGCTGTATATACTCTTGAATGCTGTTTAATACCTGTAAATACTTAGCCCTTTTTAATGTGTATAAATAAATTATATTTTAAAGCTAACTGTGTGCTGGGTGTTTTTGATGTGAGAAAAAGTAGCTAGCAGAAAACCTGATGTTAGAACTTGAAAGTGACCATCCTCTAAACATGCTGCGATAACATCTTAGAGGCAATCCAAGAAAAAACTATTAACACGGAGACTTGTACAAGAAACGAGTGTTAAATAGATTCCACTGTAACTATCTATGTAGCCATCCCTACATCTATCTATCTTTATATTATTATCTGTGTAAGCGAAGCGCCTCAGAGCCTAGTCACAGACTAGGACCCAGCATTGTACAAACACTGAACAAAGGGATGGTCCCTGCCTCAAGGGGTTGACAATTTGAGAATAAGACAAGAGAAAACATATTGGGGGGGGGGGGCACAAGGAAACAACGAGGCTGTATTTGTCAGCATGCTAAGAACAGCCACACTGGGTCAGACCAAAGGTCCATCTAGCCCAGTATCTTGTGTTCCGACAGTGGCCAGT